GCCTGGCTGAGGAGGTGCAGGGCCTGGCCGAGAGGCTGAAGAAGGTGTCGGAGTACCAGAGCACTCTGCTCCGAGTCAACACGCAGCTGGTGAGTGTTCACTCCGGGCTCCAGCCCAACTCCCAGTGCACAGCACTCCAGGCTTTACAGTGCTGTCAGTCTGATCCACTCCAGGTGTTACAGTGCTGTCGATCAGACTCCCAGTACACAGCAGCCTGATCCACTCCAGGTTTTACTGTGCTGCCAGTCAGACTCCCAGTGCACAGCAGTCTGATCCACTCCAGGTTTTACTGTGCTGCCAGTGCACAGCAGTCTGAGCTGTGTGTTGCTATCAGTGTTTTATTTTGTACTGCATTAATGTGACTTTGTGTTCTGGTGTTGCAGAACGCCTGGCTGTGGAACATTGAGGAGCTGTCAAAACACCGCCGCCAGTCGCACCCGCAGCCTGTACCTTGACCTTCCCACCAGCAGGGGGCACAACCCTCTCTCCCGTCTGACCCCCGCTGTACAGTACAGGGTGCGGCGCTCGCTGCAGTACTAGGTCCGCCCTGCTCGTTGTTACTTGTCTGTAAATAAATTTGCAACTGCGTGTTTTGTGTTCACGATAAAATTGTGACATTTGTCGGCTCGTGTTCTTCTTTGCCGGAACGGAATGACTGTGAGGTGTTTGTGTGAGAATGCAACTGCACTGCTTTTCCACACATCGCCGACAGCACGACAAATTACAACATATACAGCTGAAGAAGGCTCCACAGCCGAAATGTCATCTCTTTTCTTGTCCTTTCTGTGCAGAATAAACCTTTACGTGGTCCTTTGAATTACAATATAGCGAAGTAGACAGAGGCAGGGTAGGGAGCTGTACATTGAACTTGGAAGTCTAAAAACATAACTTTCGAGTTCGGTGTTTCTGCAGTCGTGCTACGCTCTTTTAGGTAGTGTTAATACTAATTTGAATATTTTAAAATTAATACTAATTGTAACTTTGCCACTAGCGGTCGGTCCTGGAAGAATCGTACTGTGCAGCAATCGGAAAGTGAGGAGCTCGACATGAGCTGTACTGTCTGACAGATCCCGCATAATAAAGAGCACTTAAGCCCAAACCTCTTATCTTCCTAAATCAACCATACCACAACAGTACATTTGCAAATTTACGGACACGTCCCGGCCTCTGAAAGTTCCGGCCCGAGTGAGCGTCACGTGTCTTCCTCCCGCTGCTGATTGGCTGGCAGCGGGGAGGGAGGCGGGCTGAAACCTGCTTCTGGCCCGGAAGTGGATGGTTGGCATGGTAACGGTGCAACGCCAAATCTTCAAGGCATTTCGAGGTAAGATTAAATTATATATAAACGACACAAAATCACTAAATAGCTATTATTCACGGAAGTGACGATTTCATTGTATTTCTACCCTTCATACGTGATTATTAAAAGTCCGTACTGTAACGGGACTGTTCTACTATACTGGGACTGTA